AGTGACTATTTGTGTAATTAAAATATCTCTTACACTCGATTTTTGAGGTATCAAAACACCATTTAGGACATTTATAAACTTTAAAGACATTTGCTGGTGTCCAAATATTGACAATAAGACGAGTATTTGATCAGCTCATTGGAAGCGCTTAAGATCGAACGTCTGTCATTGTTCAATTCAATTGAAAGATGTTCATTTCGCAAAGTTTGTTTATACAGATTACAATAGAACTAAACATTTACTGTCTTTATGTAAATAGAAAAAGAAATAATGTGAACTTTTCACATTTCTTTCTACTTATGCCGGCTTAGGAATTAAACAAATGTTACGGAATAAAGATCAGATACTTCTTGGTTGAAGTTATGGATCAGTTTAGTTGACACTTTCAAACACTTTTTAAAAGAGAGACTTCTGTTAAAAGCACTCGTGATTCTGAACGATAAAAGCAGCAGGCAATGGTCGAGTATGTACAAATGTATATCAAGAGGCGTTATATTTCTATCCTCGTGAAACCCTTTAATTTGGCTATTATTTTAGGTCCTTTTGGGTCATATAGCTCTTCAACTGTTCGGTTCTTTCACATCATTGGCTTTCAAATATTCCTGATGAAGTTAAATCCAGAAAAGCGCTTTCGACGCATGAAAGTGTTATTTTCATATTTTATTGCATTTTTAGTTGACATTAATTTTTAGTGTGACACATTTTATTTCGTATTCAAAACTCTTCGAACAATAGATAAAAAAGTTTTGCAAAATCGATGAAATTAAAATTTTGACTATTATACGCCGCTTCAGAGAACAATTTCTTTCAGAACTTTGAATTCTTTCCTGGAAAAATACATCACGAAGAGTTGTTGCAGAGTTTACTGCCGACAATATTCTCTCAACATGGAGATTCGTATTTACCGTTCCCGTGTACACAACTTGTGCAAGACGTATCTGTATAATATTTATACATTCTGCACAGCATTCATTCTTTTTATTTATATGGGTTTTACTGTCCAAACAAGTGAAAGACACACTAGTTTATGTCGAAGCTACTAAAAGAGAGGCGAAAGATACATAAAGGGATATTCAAACTCACAAATGATACTTTCGCAATTCACGTTGTTGTTAATTGTCGCTGTGTCTCTTTATTCTTGGACGCATGATTCGTCTTAACGTTATTCGGTGGAAATTTATTTGGCAATATTATTCCACCGCAACTATCCAAGCAGGGTTCTCACTTAAGCGAGTCCATGAGTTGTGGACTCTTGAAAATCTGTCTGGACTCATCATTTTCAACACTGGTGAGTTCAAATGTTCATCAAGATTGCAAAATATTGAATTAATTGCATGAGTATACATACATGTTTAACACAATTTTATAACAAAAATTTAAAAATAACCTAAATATAATGTCATTTCCTTGCTCTTCCTTCCTGGTCATCATGAATGAAATAATAAATTATATAGCAATAAAATTTCATCTTCTCACTGTTGAACTCAGCATGGCCAAAAAATACAGAGTCCTTAGACTCGCCTTTAAAAGTCCGTAGGGAGAACTCTGTATCCAAGGTAATGCATATTCACATGGAATATAAACTCGAAGACAACAACCATTCGTTACGGATTCATATGTGGTCTGTCGTTATAAAATTTGTTTCTTTACAAAAAATGTTCCAATTTTTTCTGGCAACCATTGGTTTCCAACGATATCTGTCTTGTCTTTTTTAGTAAATTTATTCATATGCGGAAATAAATATTACAAGAAAATGAAACATGTCAATGCCCTATAGCATTTTTGGGTCTCTTCCACTTACTAGCTTATAAGCTAAGCCGGTCTTGTCTACGGCTAAATAAACTATATAATGTGTCTAATATATATAACAAATTTATATACTAGTATATAAATATATATACCATCTCCAGTCTTCCCGAAAAATGATACGAAGGATGACAAATTACACTGCAGATATGTGTTGCGCATAGGTTATCATATGTGAATGGCTTTAATTATTGTCATTTATAGTTTAGTAAACTATAACTAATTCATGCATGTAGTATCATATTTATTTTGTTTCATGCTTGCATTTTTTTTTTCATATCCTCCCTTTCAAAATACGTAATCCATCCTGAATCCATGTTTAGTACACTGGAATAAAGTTAAGAGTGCAGATATGTACGTAAACTATTATACGAGAGCATCAAAACTGCCGAAAAAGGCCAAAACGTTATAGCCTACCTAGATCAAAACTGTAACAGACCAAAACGGAATAGCCTACTAAGCACCAAAACAGTAAAAGACTTAAATGGTACAGCCTCTTTAGCATCAGGGAGCATCAAAACTGTGAAAAACCTGATTGGAACAGCCTCTTTCGCATCAGGGAGCATTAAAACTATGAAAGACCTAAATGAAATATCCTTTGAGTCTGTAACATCAGGAAGCATCAAAACTGTAAAATACCTGAAGGGAACAGCCTCTTTAGCATCAGGGAGCATCAAAACAGTAAAAGATCTAAATGGAACAGCCTCTTTAGCAACAAAATTGTAAAAGAACAAAAGGGAACTTCCTCTTCAGCTTCCGAGAGCATCAAAACTGAGCATCAAAACTGTGAAAGAATTGTAAAAGAACTGATGAGTTAAGCCCTTGTTAACTGATGTTTATTGTTTTTTCTTATGTTGCACTGTTACACCACTGTCCCAGGTTAGGGGGGTTGGTGCCTTCAAACATGTTTAACCCCGCCGCATTCCATATGTGCCTGTCCCAAGTCAGGAGCCCTTAATTCAGTGGTTATTATTATATAAAGGGAACAGCATCAAAACTTTAAAAGATCTAAATGGAACAGCCTCTTTACAGCATGAGGGAACATCAAAGCTGTAAAAACGATCTAAACGGACCAGCCTAGTTAAGACATGAACATGACAGACAAATACTTACTAAATTGCATACTTGTCAAAAGGAAAAGAGTATGAAAAAAAAAATACTTACTGTCCACTTAGAGGGCCAGGGATTTTTCGGTAAAGGTTTCCTTCCTTTAGATAAGTTGCCGACCAAGGATGACGAGCCATTTTCTGTCCGTTATCATTTCAGAGTTTTCTTTCTCCTAGACAAATTACCTTCCAAGGTTAACGATCTTCATCTAACCAATGTAGAAGTCTTGACATTGTAGAGGCTATGTGCTGGTAGTAGAGGCTTACTCACTAGACTCTCTCTTCGATTACATATGTAGGCTAGCCAGCGGAGGCTGCTTTAATAAAAACAACCACACTAGACGCATACAACAGCTCTGTGGAAAAACCACCAGCGTATAATTTTACTCCAATTTCCTGGAGGGAGTTGAAACCTTAGTTTTGGTACCATTAAATTTTATCAATAAGACATTTAATTTATAATCAACGTTAATAATTAATTTTAAATTATGGTAGTACCGAAGCAGTGGCTACTGAGTGGTAGGTATCATCCGGGAACAACAGTCCACTAGCGGTACCCATTTTGCATCCAATGGTAGGCCTCAAAGAATTGCATGTTTTTGTTTCAAACAAGTCCATTTAACACTAGATTATATAAAACCAAAGACTGAGCAACATGAACCCAACCGAAAACTGGGTTGGTCCCATGCAGATGCTCCGCAAGGGATAAGCATATGGCACCCGTCATGTTGCTCATATAATATAGTAAGTACAAATTTCGGTGATAAGTCGCATGCATTTTGTCATGTCATAAATCAGAAAAGACGGATGTGACGATTGTGAGATTTGGGGTATACTTCAATGACATAAAAATCAAGAAGACATGTAGAGGTCAAACTATGACCTTTGATGATTTTTTAAAGCATGTTTGTGTAGAAAAGACACTTTTGCAATTTCAGTATTATGATTTTTTTCTGGAAGACGTTGTTTTGGTACCTTTTAGGTATCTACTTGACACAAGTTATGTAAAAATAAGGAGATGTGGTATGATTGCCAATGAGACAACTATCCACCAAAGTTCAAATGAAATGGATGTAAGCAATTATAGGCAACCGTACGGCCTGCAACAATGAGAAAAACCCATTAAGTGTGGTCGGCTATAAAAGGCCTGTTTTATTTCTTTGATATCATCCTGTTGGATGTCGAAATGTGCAGGTAAATATACATGATATATTTGCCACTGAACTGTAAGCAAAGGGCCAACTAGACGTTAAAAGATTACCACCCCTTGTCAAATAGTGCATATATATGTTGAACAAAAAAAAAAAAAATAACATATATTTGTTATTTGTTATTATTTTCTCTATTTTTTTTTTGTAACTGTAAAATATGCAGATAGCACAATTCGTGCTTATTACTTATTACGAACTGTACTTAACAATGAGGACAATATGCATAGACTCCTACAAATATATAATATAGCTGGTCCTTTGTCGATCAAAGAGCTTTGCATTTTTGCTACACTACAATACTCTTAATTCAAGCGTCTGTTTCATCCGGACATAGGCTGTCTTTTTTGTTTATCCAATATAACCACGGACCCCTTGTATAAACACACAATCTACAAAGGCGGTAAACAATTCTTTCATGTCGGTACAGTAAAGTTTCAAGTTTTGAGCTGCAAATATAAGCTAATTATTGTTTAAAAAATTAAAGAGTCAAACATTCATCTTCTTATCAAATCATCAAAGAAGTGGTCATTTTCATTTAAAACCCTTTATTTTAATGGGTAATTAAAACTCTAAGTGACAGGCATATTAATTTGCACTCCTAAAAAATGGTATTTTATTAACATTGCAGGCTGATTAATCTTTTAAGCCTTTAGAAAATAAAAGAGATAATCCCTAATTTTACAAATAACATTGCTGTCCCGTTAATCCAAACACTTCTTTTCATTATTTACCTATATATAGATATATACCGTTAGACTATTTAAATCTATCGTATCGTTATCAAAGTTTTGGACATGATTGTAATATTAATTCTCTTTAATTGGTTTTATTGACAAGAAAAGAAAGTGTTCTCCTTTTAATATCAGTTTTTGATACACAAAGCGCATGCGTGTCAGGTGAGAGTTAATCTTTGCTTATTTGTGTATTGTCTTGTATTGAGTGGTATATGATAGCTAGTCGGAACATCAAAGACAGAGAACATGAGATCGAAGTCCAAAGCAAGAAAACTAACACACGGTAAGTTGACAAAACACACATACAAACATTTAAACGCACAAACGCACATTTTGAATTTTATTCATATTTTTTTCATCACTCAGATTCTGTATCAATTATTACCACCTGTCGTTTTTGACATCGAATTTGATTAAATACGACAAGTACAAGCTTTTTTTCTATATTTAACAATAAAATAAGACTTAACATAATTCGATCGATTTCTTCAATAAATTGATAAAAGTTTGTAACAGGTAATTGCTTTAATATTGTTCTTTTAGTAACTTTCCCTAATCTATTTTCGGCTATTGGAAATTAATTATTGGTCAAAGTGTAAATTACAGCAGAGTTTATGGAATAACGGTAACTCTGTTTAATTTGTCATTTTGATTTTACATATCAATTTTTCACACGTATAGAACAACCATATGGACATTTTAAAAAGGAAGATACAAAGTTATTTAATATTTAATAATTATTTGTCTTGATATAGAGTGTAATATTTAATCTTTGTATATGACATGAAATCATTTGTATTGTACATTTTCTATTGAAAACATTCACCAAGTTTGTATTGATATAAATTATGAATGCGTTTTATGAATGCTCGTGTATTAACATTTTGCGCGCATAGACCCATGGAAAGCCACTTATAACAATCAGAAATAGCAGATGTACTAAACTCCATGGTAAAAACCCATGTCCATTTGTATACAAGCTAGTTTAGAGAAATATTCACAAACATGCATGCGTTGTGCATCCTTCGCTTTCAATGTTTTGGCTATGAGCGTCCCTGATGAAGATCAATCCAGAAATGCGCATCGGACGCATAATTTTCTTTTTTTTCCAATAAATCGTCTGTGTGAAGGATACCTTTTTATTTACAGATGAAATCTATTTTGCAGTTTTGAGGGTTTAAAGAATCTGTGTAGTATAGTACATGTTGTATTTGCATGTACTCTTCGTCGTCGTAAGGACAAAAGCGATGTGATTTAATTAGATTAAGTAATGCCTTATTGCCATCTGCATTCACATATATAATTCTCTAAGACAAGGTTGATCTGGGACGATATTTACAAATCTTTTTTAGGTCTTGGTTCTCTCAGCTGGCTGCTGGAGATTTGGTCTTCATTTTACCCGATGACATTCAATAAGCGCGTTTTGTGTTGGAACGGGGACCCAATTATTTCCCCCATTACTTCAATGCAATTTTATCCAAATTGAGGGGCAGATTTTTTACTCGTTATATTAGACTGCAAAATTTCATTTACTTTCTCATACTAATAGCCCCTTCATGGTTTCTTGGAGAATTCTTAGAGGGTCATTTAAGAGAGCAATACTGTTTTGAGTATTAATAGGGTCATTTTAAAATTTGGACCATTTACTCAGACAATCATCATCCTTATACATTTCAGAATCACTTAAAATTTAACAGAAGTCAAAAGTTTAATGAATATCCTTTAAACATACTTCAATTTTAAGCATCTTTACATAATTTTCACCTCGGTACAATATCCCATTTAAAAGATGGTGATTTATTAAGGGACTTCATTCTTGGGTACTGGACTGGTATCCTGTAATTGGGATCCTATTGCTGCTCTAAAATTATTACCACGTGTCTTCCATTCTCCATTTTGAGATGCAAAAGATAATAATGTGACTTTATCCTATTCCGATGCATTATCTCAAACGAAAAGATACAAGAAATCAATATTTTCATGTTTTGATATTCATTGCTTAAATTGTGATATACATGACAACAGCTTGTTATGTTGTTTGTCTAAAAGCTTAAGTCATGTATTAGATGCACGTGACAGAAAACTTGATCTCTGGTGGATAGTCGTCCCATCGGCAATCATATTACATCTCCTTATTTATATTGATACTTGATTCTAACATTGTAAATTTCGAAGAAAAAATATCCCAAAACGCCATAGCATGCTTATACATTTACTTGAAATTTTCGGTTCTTAGACATATGATTTCATTGGCAACACTATTTGTTGCTTTCCTGTCATACAATTGACCTTTAGAAAATGTTATCAATTGAATACGCATACTTCTATGTGTTAATACAAAACATTAAATCAACTGTATGCTGAGGGTAGCCAAGGGTCAATTATATGGCCACAAGACCTACCAGCATCCGGTAGAAAGTCGTGCGTTCAACAGGCCTTTGTTTGCTAAACTGAGTGTACATGTACTCAGTCAAGAAATGTGTAACTGAGGTCTATAAATCTAAGGCATTAGTTCATAAAGTACCATGCCATTCCTATGTCAGTAAATCATACCAAATTTGTTCAAACAAGTGGTTGCAGACAGAAACCTTCCAAAACGCAACAACCAAATAGCAACCAAAACAACTGACCTTGATACATGCAGTCAACATGAAGAAATTCAAAACAACTGTGGTTGTCCCTTGTGAAGCTACTGTAGTTTTTTTTCAGATGCCACTTTTCTTTCAAAATATAATCTTTTGTAAAATAAAATAAAACAAGCGCTTGAAAAAATCTGCTTGGTTTATTTCTATTAGGTCAACGTACATAGTTTTATCAAGGACAAAACACAAAATGTAGAGTTACCCAAGTTATATCATATGGTGGAATAGGCATGATAATAATCAATAAATGGTTATTTTATATAATTCAAGTTGAGACTGCATAAAAGATGAGTATCCATCTATGAGATTACTCATTTTGGGTCTAAAAAATAAGTTTCAACATAGAAGACCGCATTATGTAATAAAGCACAAGACCGATTCATGACGAGACTTTTTGTTAGTTACGCCAAATGTTTAGGACGTTCTAACGATATGCTGCTCTATCTGTTAATTACTAATTGGATTTTTTTTATCACCAAAAAGTAAAGACGGAGAGAGATTTATTGAGTTCATCCTCAGAAAGATTAACATGGTATTATAAACTAAAATCCACACCCCGTATAGCACAACATGTATCATCAGATTTTCACTACAATAGGTATGTTGTCCTGTCGATAAGTAAATTAGCCTGGGCTGATATGAGTCAAATGGCGTGTTATATTTATATTACCTTTCAGTAATTTCTTTTAATCAAGTTATGAATAACAACAAACTATTGTTTATGCTTCATATGATAGAAAAGATAACAACTTTTTCAATGAATATCTCTATTTGATACGGTTTTCTTGCCAATTCAATATGAAATTGCAATGAGAAAGTGAAATTACTTGATGTCAAAGGGACATGTATTTGTCATACATAAGACTTAGTCATCGTGCCATGTACTTTACGAAGCTTACTTTTTTCTTTTCTGAAGATGAAAAAAAAAACATACAAAATAGTGAATTTTGCGTTGTATTTAAAGTTCAATGAGAACCGGGCCTTTTATAGCTTACAATGCGGTATGGGTTTTGCTCATTGTTGAAGGCAGTTTGGTGACCTTTAGTTGTTAACTTCTATGTCATTTTGTCTCTGATAGATAGTTGTCTCATTGGCAATCCTACCACATCTAATTATTTTTAGAATAATAAATTTTGCATTGTATTTCATGTTTAATGAAAGAATCTGGTCAAAATTGCCAAATGCAAATACATAGTTTCAATGTAAAATATGTTTGTATTTAGTTCGTCTTAAGGTTTTCATGCACGTACAAGGCATGCTTCAATTGTAACATGCATTGATGCGTTTTTTGCTTCCGGGGCTCTTGGCTCTTAAGCTTCACGATGAAGGTAAATCTAGAAAAAAAACTTTTCGAGCGCGGCAGTTGAGGATTCTGCTTGCAGTCGTTTCCGTCAAAATTAAGTTCATTTACTTGATAGCTTGACGTCCAGTAGCAGTAGCACATATTTTTTATATTGTATTAATACGTGATAAAGGTAAATGGTATATATAACCTGAAGTGGGGATGGGCTTGTTATTTTGGGATATTGTTTACTACCAGTGGCAAACCAAATTTAAATCGGTAGCGTTAAACATTTTGCCTTACAAATGCGGATCATCCAGAGAGATGTTGCTCGATTGTTTACCGTGTGGAAAGTGTGATATTCTCCGAGATTTTTGTATTCCAGTATGCAATAAATGGTAAATGCATTGGATTTTAACAGCTATACATGCATGCAACAATCTTCCTGAATGTACACATGAAATATTTTCCACGGACCTTCAACAAACACCAGTCAATCAATCCATGCTACAATCTATCAATTGATTGTTGTTTACCTAACGTTTAGTGACATGCGCATTCAGAACGAGAACCAATTAACAATAAACCAATGCATTAGGAGGTTCTGCTAGAATGAAGGGTTGTAATCGGGAATAGAAAATGTTGTATAAGGAGAAAAATTGTTACTCGCAACAAACAACCTTTGTATACGGATCCCCCAAAATGTTGTTGCATGTGTTTTAACGTGGAGAGATTGTGGCATTCGCATTCCCTACAAGTGGTGTCATATGTAACGTCACCATTCCGACTGGGCGTGACTGAGTGTTTGTACATCCCGCACAGCTGAACAGACGATACTTTCAATATACATGTACCGACAGTTTCGTCTTTATTTTCTCGTGGAATATGAATTTTAAGGTGTTCCTATGCAAGAAATTAATTGTATACTGCGTGCACATGTATATATATATGATAATCAATTTTATATGATGTTCAGTTTTGTTAAAAAATTCATGATGTTAGTATGCCTTTGTAAACACAAATATAGAGCTCTTGTTCTTGTGAAATACACAGGGAAATTGTGTCAATTTTTTTATCCTGATCATCGTTTTGATCTACAGCGTTTTTCTTTAAGTAAAATGTTTCGTTTTCTGAACACCGTACTCCTATTTCCTTTTTAGGCAAAACCTTTCGGAATTTGGGTTTTCTCAATGTTCTTCAACTTCTTACTTTATTTGGCCTGTTTTAACTTTTTTGATTCAAGCGTCACTAATGAGTCTTTCGTAGACCAAACAGAGTCTGGCGTAAAAAATTTAATCCTGGTATTTATATGATGAGTTTATTTAATTAGCATAACACACTATTTATTGCATTTAATGC